GTGACGTCACGGAGGCTACGTCCATCTTTATTTACAGTCTATGATTCTGTCGCACCATAAATCACTTCGCATTCACACAATTTCAGCACAAAATTGAATTATCTCTTGTACTTTCCCTTTCATTATTAGTATGAGTTGTTTGCAATTCCTTAAGACTGTGCCATAGTTAAAGACTCCATCAGTGATCTGTACTTTAGCATACATCTTGCCCCTAATCTAAAAAACATTTCTGTGTTAGTTTTTGCATGTAGTTTTATATTCCTGCAACCATTTCCATTCTACTTTTGTGCTGCTTAGCATGCTAATTCTTACTGACTTTACTGGGCTATTTTCAATGCAATGGGAGTTTTGTGAGTTGGAAAAAAAATATAGTACTGGAAGACTATAATAATGTTTCTTTGGATTGTGATTCGAGTTTCCATGTAGGAGGGATACAGTACCTTTGGACCCTAAGAAATGTGAACTGTATTTCTAAACAAATTATATCCAGTGGGACTTGTCTTGTCCCTCTATGACTTCCAGTAGTACATTTATTTTCAATACAAACTAACGATCTCTAATGATCAACCTTCACTGCTAGCCCTGACAAACTTAAAATGGTCACTGCTGGTGTCACATGTGAATAACTTTCTGGTTTGTCTTTCTCACACTGGGATCACCAGACGGCCCCTCCAGTTCATCCAATGCACAGGCGCTCACACTCTGCGGGTGGGGAGAAATGGGTAGACCACAAACCACCTTCTAATTTGGACCTAGACACTGTCATGCAGCCAATCATACCCAATGCAATCAAAGTGTCAACCCCTAACGAGAAAGCTCTGTCTAAATGCCACAAGTATGTACTTAGACATCAAGAGCTTGCCTCTGACGGGGAGATCGAGACCAAACTGATCAAGGTAAAATTACATAATTACTTAATTTGAGACTCCTGATTGTTTTATATCTTGCATGAATTTGACTTTTATCACATTCAGTTTGATTTCACACTTGGGTCCCGTTTTAGATAATTGGACACTTCTCCCTTTCCTCACTGTTGATTTTTTTTATATACGCTTCTTCCTGTATTCTCCCTTCAACATTTTGTGACTTCTTTTTTTAAACTTCCCCAGGGTAATGTTTTTAAGACCAGAGGTGGAGGACAAGCTGTGCAGTTTACTGACATTGAGACACTAAAACAAGAGTGCCCAACAGCACCAAGGTACAGTATTTTCCAAAGTACTACAAGTTGTGGTACGTCTGTGTGTGTGTAGAGAGAGCAATATAACATTATCTGTCATACAGTAACATCATATAGTTGTTAAAATCAGTGGTAAGCATTTAATACTAGTATTAGTACTGTGTATTTGACAGCATCATGTCATGATTTCAGGTCCAACCATATCTTACAACGTAAAGTTAAAAGTAATAAATATTTTATCTGTGAAATGTATTTAGGTGCCACATACATTCAACCCATGCAGCAAGAACTTTCACAATTTACACATAAATACAGAGAGGGGTGTTTTCAGGAAAAAGTTGTAAGGCTCAAAATTAAGACAAGTAGAAAAACTGTTCAAAGGAAACTGACCACTGCTGCAGTCAATGGAGTGGCTTTTAGCAGAGTGAAAAGGGCTTTTTTTAATGTGCATAAAAACAAGTGGATGTTGGCACAGTTAGAAAGGCAAACATCCTGTTTGTTTGTTTGTTTGTAAACGCAACTTTCGCATAGTACCCAAACCATCTTCACACCTAAAAAAAAAAAATAAAAAAAAACACTGACTGGAAGGAACTGGAAGAAGGATTGTTTGGCTGGTTCCTGCTCAAAAACACTGACACTAAAAACCTGTAACAATAGTTTTTTAAGTATTTCATTGATCAAACCAACCTTGTTAAACTGAACAGCTAAAAAGCGTTTAAGTTCACCTACAGAGATTTTCTAATTGGTAATTTATTTAGCATTCATTTTTTTTATATGTTAAATATCAACAAATGCTAATTACACCTATTTAGAATCAAATCTGTAAAAGTTAAATTTGTCTAGTCCGCCTTCAGAGTTTATAGAGGATGTGTAACATTTCAACTGGTTATGAGTTGACATTCAACAATTAATCTGTTTCACTAACCCTAAGCTTTAAATGGTTGAGTAATTGTCGGTTGAATATTTATATATAAACTGTTGAACATTATAATGTTAAACAAAGATTAATAAAATGTGACAAGTACTCCGTAAACTCTCTGTAGGTAGACTATACAAATAAAGTGGTATATGTTTTGTCCAGAGAACTGACAAAAGATCCTTTTTTTTCAGTCGTAAGAGGCGATCCGGGTCTGGAGAAGGACCGCTTCAAGTAGAGGACATCGAAAACAGAGTAAGATCTCAATTGTACCACAAGATACTGTATATAAAATTGCTATTAAACTATATGCCTATTCTCTTTAGTCATGTTAGTGTGCAATTAACACATTTATCATCTTCTACATGTTTTTAGGTATCAATAATTCAGGCCTTCAACCAATTTTTAATTGAATATGAACTGGATAATTTGATGGTTGTTTGTGAAGTCACCATAATTTATATGTCAACCCTTTTCAACCATTTCCTCCCGTTAGGCTCCAGTGGCAAACACAAGTTCAAGCCATGGCTATCAAAAGTAAGCAAATAAAAGCGTGTGTGTGTGCACACTGTTTACCAAGTTATATAGATGACAACATTCCAGCTGTTGTTTTGGATTTAAAATGAGTGTTATTAATGTTTTGGACTTTTTTTTTTGTTTTGTTTTCTTTCTTCCAGACGCAGGAAGCCTTAAGTTGCTGTACATATGAAGGGACTTTTTTTTTTCGTCTTGGAAACATGCAAGATGTGTCATTACAATTGGAGCGGTGAAGGGACCACCATGTGGAACTATGCATCCTTTTTGAGAGCCAGAGCATTTTTCTCTTGTATCTGATGTTATTACAAATTATTATGGTGCAATTATAATTGAATCATAGCCAACAAGATGTTGATTAATGGAGAATATTTCAGTTGAAACTTGCTTGATTTCTACGCATTTTTGTTTTGAAATACTACAATTATTACTTCTTAAAGACATGGACATATTAAAAAGCCCAATATGAATATTTTGTGATAAATGTAAATTTTTATTATTTAATCTTTTTCACAGCTTTTTACTGCTTCCCAAAGATTAGAATATATGAGCTTTAGAAAATGTTTGTTTTTTACTTTATAGTGTCCCTTCCTGCCTTTTTTTTTTTTTTTTTTTTTTTTTTTTTTTTTTTTTTTGGAAAGGATTATTAATTTACATTGATATTATGACTGATTACAAAAAACAGAGTACAGAACAAAATTGTTTTAGAATTCCTATGTGTAGAGCTTCAGCTGTAAATATAGAGCTGTTAGGTAGATTTTGCTGAAACAATCTCTGACCACCTGTAAATAAGTATTATGAAACTTTTTACTTCAGTTTGTTGAAACAACTCCTGAGATGTGTAGCACACTGCTCTTATTGGTGGCATTAAATTTATTCTAACACCAAATCTTGTCATAATGATTTCTTAATCCATGGCAGAATTTAAAGTTGCTTTTTTTTTAACTAATCTGAGGGTTTATTTCAGTTAATCTTAATTTTTAAGCAGTTTTAAATTAAGTAGTGGTATTGGAAGTGTCTCTACATATTTGATCAGAGTAGAAGGAAACAAGGCAAACAAAATAAATGCTATTTATTTAGCTTGTTGAATTCTTTTTTACTTTGACTAAATGAAAGCAAAATGTATTTTTAGAAGCACTCACATGATAAAATCCCAACTCTGAGGAGATTAGCATGAATTGCATGTGTTATTGTGGGATTTCCTGTCAATAAATTGTATAAAGAGGTCAAAGCTAGAGGTCAAACACACATTTCCTCCTCCTTTTTTGTCTAAGTCACAGTGGCCCACTCAGCTCTAAGTCAAAGGCTCACTTTGAGGCTAAGCACACAGTTGCCTTGCTGAAAAGTAGACACTTTATGCCTGTTTCTACCACATATTTAGCCTGTCAACAGGTGAGAAATGTCAAACCACACTACTAACCATGCAGATGTGTACACTAGCAAGTCTATGTTTTTTCTCATCACTGCTAAAATCCTGTGGACTGGGTCTGTGCTTGTATTCTGGATGTGTAAAATTTCACCAATGCGTTTCAAATGCTTTGAGGATAATCGTGTTGAGAACAACCATCTGTCTTTGAATTTGTGGTGTCCTAATACAAAGGGATAATTCTGAATGATAAAGTTCTTCCATCCTTATCTTCTGGCGATAGTATTTCTTTGTTGCCGTGTGTGTGTGTCACAAAGGCTCATTTACACCAGTGTACTGTGTTGAACTCTGAATACTCAAGGGAGCAAGACCATGTTTAAAAAAACATGGTCTGATGACCTTTCTCTTTGAAATATCAGGTATATTAATTATACATACCTTGTACCCAATGGATCTCTATGTAGAAACTTCACATTCCACAGATAATTTGTTAGGCTTTATTAATATTGTGGTCAAAGGACACAGTATTTATGCAGTGAATTTATTACCTGATCAGGCATAAGTGATTGTCACGGACATTCAGCAGAGGGGACAGAAAACTTGTAGTTTACAATGTGAACAGCAGATGGAACCGGGAGAGCACATATTTTTAAATGTGGATCACTGAGAAATCAGATCGCTTCAAATGTTAACCAGTAAACCAACAGCAAGGGCGGGTACTAGTGCAAGGAGTGCTGGAATAAATACTGAACAATAATATAGTATTTATGTTAAAAAATAATATTCAAAAGTAATAATATGATGTATAATGTTGGCCCAATATCACAAACATACCAAATAAAACCAATTAATATCTCCAATCCCCAGTTGACAGTAGGCTACTGTACATTTAGACTAATAAACCTATGGACAGCTGTTTAATGAACATACCTATTAATCCTTGGCTCACAGTATGTTAAAGGGGCTTTGACCACTGTAAAAACGCCAATTTAAGGCTAATTTACTTCATTACTTCACACCAAAAATTGCCAAATATTAGTTGGTCATTTCCACAGGATGTCCATCCTGTCCTAAGGCCCAGCTAATTGGTTGGAAGTGGTAAGAATGTGGCAAATGGCTATCAGCCAATCTCAACCCGTGTGTCTGCAACTTGCCTGTGAAAATATTGACCCTTCCTTCCCTGCTTGTTTAACTCGCCAGCCTTTAAGCAGTGTTGGAGCAAATACCACATGACAGCACTGCTTTACTAAATGGCTTCTTTAACTCAAACACTCGCTAATGGCTGCTTAAACACAGCTCCTCTTACCCATTGTGGACTTTGTGTTTGCTTTGGTTCATTGTATTAGAACGGTCACCTTTTTGTGTACTGCTGAGTGTGAAAGCGAGAGATTACAAAACACTGTATTTGATGTTTGAGGCTTTTAATTTCAGGTTAATTTTCTTTCTGGTGCACACAAATATGATGTGGATACACAGTGCTTAGTGGGTGTTGTTGGCCTGTGTACACACACACAGTGGTGTGATAATGTACAAGTAAACGAAAAGGAAGAGAAACAAGCATGCTATTCAGTAATGATTGTGGCGTGACAGGCTACATATATATTATGTGATGAAAAACAAGATCAATTTGGTCTGCAGGGGTGATACTTGGTATGCCCTTTGGTACATGCAGACATTCTGTCACACCATTGGAAATAACTGGAGCTACTTGACTCTAATAAAAGAGTGGATTTTCTGCTTCTGGGCCTAACTGTATGACAGAAGTTCACCAGCTGCAATTCACAAGGACATATTATCACATATTTTGAATTGTGCATCTAAAATCTTTGGTCTTGCTTCCAGAAACATTTTTTAATCACATATAAACTTCCGAAACATCTTAAGTAAGTTACTTAGTCCTGCTATTTTCATTTAAGAAACACCTCCAAACACTATCTTTTCTTATCCTTCCAAAAGCTTAAACAAATCATCCACTGCTTCTTCTCATGGCATCCTAATATTCTAACGCACTATACTCCTGTTCTAATAATCTAGGAGTATAGTAATAAAATTCAAGGATGCCAAAGCAATTAGTCCATAATTCTGCTGCAAAGACTCCACATCACTCTCATATCAGCGTATGCTGGCTTTGAAACACTGACCTCCTGTGAAATTTAGGATTGATTTTAAAATCCTTCAAATTACATAAAGGGTACAACACAGTTTGGCTCATCAGGCCTCTCAGGTCATGGGAATAAGGTCTCCTGAAATCTCCTCTCAAATCCTATTTATTCTCAAACGCATTTCACTAATGTCTCCTAACCTTGTGTTCATTTGTCTTAGCAACACTTTTTTTTTTTTTGCTTGTGCTTGGTGTATTTTATTTATGCAACTGCTTTATCACCTTTTGTGTCTGTGAAGCACTTTGTAAACCTGGTTTTGAAATGTGATGCACAAATATTTTACCTACCACGAAAGTGAACCCACCACCCCACACCCATTATGACGCAATGGTTTTGTCCACACCTGCATTGGTTTGATTAGAGTCAGGACATCGTGAACGCCACTGATTTCCAGCCCTAAGCTTTGTCCAGTCAGTTAGCTTTATAAAAACGGACAACGTTAGGAAGACAGAAAGAAAAAGTTCAGGAGAAACAACAAAATACACACCTGTCAGAGGAAAGGTGAGCTTGTTGATGTAAAGGTCTACAAGTTAACGTTAATAATCTTTTGTTGGGTCTCAAGTTGGTTGACGCCAGTTCATCCCACGGTTATCTAACTGACTACGCAGCTCGAGTACAGACTGTCTTGAGGATATTTAATGCACTTTCTTAGGATAAAAAACGCTAAGCAAGTTAGCTGTCTGACTAGCTGTTCGGTAGCAACGGAGGGATTCAGACCTCAGTAGTTTCTACGTTATTTTTGGGACGAATTAAAGGCAGAGACGACGGATGTGGTTAAGACTGGGTGAATATGACATGTCACATGTTCCCTCGATATTCTTATCTGTAAATTTCAGGCCAAGCGATCGAGGATCACGGTCAAACACGGCCTTCAGAAGCAACCACAGGCTGAAGCACCTGCCCCCGCCCACCATCCGATGGTGTTCCTGAAGACAGCAGACCAGGTGAGTGCACTCTATCAGGTACGCCTCGCTAAAAACTAATGCGGTCTAATATCACAGTCCTACAATAAATCCCACCTTCATGGAGGTTATATTGTTCAATTTCTATTGAAATTATCTCACAGAGGTGTTAATTGAACTGCTTGATCATTCTGGAGGCTGCAGTTCGTGGTACTGTTGAACTGTATTGTGTTATACAGACAGGTGTTTCTTATGTTTTGTCCACCCCTTTTATAGCAATGGGTGTGGGCTTAATAATAAACACTCCTCTGTATTAATGCAACACGGCTCTTCACCATCACAAACTACATCCTGCAAAATGGTCATACAATTGAATCAGCACCTGTCAACAAATTCAATAATAACTGAACATTATAATCTTCATCAAGTTAGTGTTTAGTGCTGGACTGTTGTATTAAACTGCATTAGTTTTGGCTAGGTGTAGCCTACCTAATAAACTGCCAATTGAATGTAATGTTGTAATGGAAAATTGGGGTTTTTGTAACCTAATTTGAAGCTCGCATAAATGGAGCTGGATAAAAGGTCTGTAAAGTCACATTTTCTGTGGTCTGAAGTGTGTATTTGTATGTACCAGTTGAGGCTACTTGAGCTGTGTTTAACTGGGGATGCAGTGTCTAAATCCTACACAGGTACAGTTGAACCATTTTAGTAGATTTTCAAGTGATGGGAGTGGGTTATCTAAGACTGAATTGAATAATTCTCACACCATATCATTAGCAAATAATTTGTAATGTCCTACTTTTTTATTTTATTTTAGATCTATGTGCGCATTTTCTGAGTTGTTCACACACAAGGTTTCAGACAGACAGGAGGCACAAATGTCAAGCTGGTTTCCTGATGGAGCCACTGGTTACATTCAGAGTTGTCAGTAATACTTGGTGTGTTTGGTGTGCTGTGTTTAGACCAACAGTAGCACGCCAAAAACGCTAGGCTTGCATATTCATTTCAAAGAGAACACTGCTTTGGCCCCGTGGGGGTGCTGTCTCAGAGGGCTCCGGCAAAAGATTTGAACCTGACTCAACATAATGTGGCGGCATCTGGTGATGATGGCTAGTCAAGTACATGCAAGAGCACATACCTGGGAGATTACTTTGTTATATG